TGTACGTATGTATGCATGCATGTATGTTTGTTTGTTTGTATGTTTTAATGCAATGTAATGTAATGTAATGCAATGTAATGTAATGTAATGTAATGTAATGTAATGTAGTGTAATGTAGTGTAATGTAATGTAATGTAATGTAATGTAATGTAATGTAATGTAACGTAACGTAATGTAATGTAATGTACTGTACTGTAATGTACTGTAATGTACTGTAATGCACTGTAATGTACTGTAATGCAATGCAATGCAATGCAATGCAATGCAATGCAATGCAATGTAATGTAATGGAATGCAATGCAATGTAATGTAATGTAATGTAATGTAATGTAATGTAATGTAATGTAATGTAATGTAATGTAATGTAATGTAATGTAATGTAATGTAAAATGCACACCAAAGGAAACAGGGTTGCCGCACACACACACACACAGAGACACTTTCTCGCGAGCGCTACCGCACGCACACAGACAGACACAGCCGCACACACGGAGAGCTCGGCTTCCGAGGGCCGCACACTTGCAAACTGAAGTTCAGTTTCTCTTCTACGAGGAGCACCCTTGGAGCTGCTCTTTTGTAGTTCACCCAAGACTGCAAGTCTGAGGCCACAGGCTCTTGCGAGCTCAACCGAGCGCACGGCAGGCGCTTCAGCTTGAAGAGCCTCCCCAACTTCATAAGTCTCACAAGCCTGGCGATGGACAAAACTTGAGATAAGACAAGAACAAATTCAGGCGGCAGCCGAATGACTTGCTGCCTCTCCTACTGCAAGCTGCACATCGTGCGCTCCTATGTCACGCGGCCTCAGCAGCTTTACCGCACGTGCTTGTGTGGCGATGTCCGGCCTGAAAAACCCAAGAAGAAGGGATGGCACAACGTAAGGCTTTCTCTTTAAGGGTCCCGTTAAGGGGCTTTGTCAGGCACTACCCTCGAAGCGTCAAAACAAGCTCCATGCTGAATTGCCAGCAAGAAGAGCTCTGCCGGGAAAACGGATGCTACCTGAGTAGCCGTAGAGAAGCTTGCGAGTTCCAACAGAACGACGTGCGGAACCCTATGCAGGCCGAGGGTTCAAAAAAGGGGCCTGCAGTATGATTGGAACCCCAATCAGGCACATCTTCACAGTGTCAGCGAATCAAATGAATCTGTTGCTTCATGTCCGCGGTCCAGCTGCCCCCGCTAGTGTTCCGCGCAGTTCCCCTCCCCCTCTGCCGCCGCGCAGATGTATCACAGACTGGGAGATTCAGCTGTTGCCCGCTAGCATTTCAGGATGAGCACTGACCGGGGTCTATGGACTGCAACGGGATCGCAGATGGGACACGGCATCTCATGCTAAGTCGGACAACGGGGAATGGCAGCTCTGCACTGCCGTGCAGCTCAGGTGCGTCAATCACGAAGAAACCTCTCAAATATCGCTGCGCTATCCGCAGGCGATTTGTCACCAACACCTGCCAGCAGTGGAAAGGTCTGGGCGCCTAGCCATGCTTTTACGCGTTCCATAAATGACTAAACCACATCCGCATCACAGTCATGACTCGTGACAGCGCAACACGATTTTGCCTCACGTTCGTCGAGGTACGCGGTGAAGAACGTCAACACCTCGACCAAACCGCCCTGTCCCTGACTGCTGCTGTCTCACACAACTTTGCAATGTGACTTCAAGACGACTGCCGCCAAGGGAGAGACTCGCGTGATGACTTGATGTGGACAAGCTGAGGAGCTCGCAATGTCTATCACGAAGAGGCAATCCACAAAGATGTCTATGGCCTGACCAAGCTCCGACATGCAGCTTACCACTTTCGGCTGCAGACGCAGTGAGCCAAAGCCCGGGGTCCCTGCGAGCATTGCACCCGACACTTCCACACCGAAGCCAATCCGGAACGGCTCTACCAGGACCTGTTGCGGCATGTGAGACGTTGCAAGAGAACTGGGTCTCACTTGCATGCCGTGTGTCTCGCAGCTGCCGCCGCTCTGCATCATTATGAAACGGATGTGAGGGATCACTTGTGGCTCCGAAGAAGTGCCAGGGTGGCCGAGTACACGATCATAATGGAAATGCCAACGTCCCAAACGGCCTGAGCGTGACGAGAAGGGTGCATGGCCGTATGGGCCTAGGCGGCCTAGGCCTAGGCCTAGGCCTCTCAGCATCTCTCCTCTCCTTCGGTTCCCGGCTTTGCCAGGATGCTGGGGATCCACCACACGCCGTGAACAGCGCCGGGGCCTCCCGGGCCTCGGACTACGACAATCTCCGACAGCAGGGGTGCCCAGTGCCCCCCAGCTTTCGACTGTTCGACTTCTTGGGCTTCCCGCTCCTCATCGTCTTCGTCTCTCGATCGAAACCTTGCTGGATTTCAGTGGCCAAGCTTCAACTGTCTCGCACCCAGGTCGGAACAGAGAGATTGACCGCCGAAACACCCTAGCATAAACAAAATGAGCCTGTCTGATCCAGGCTCCTCTGATCGAGATGCGACACCTCGCACGGTACTGCTCCAAAGAGCTGAACGGGCACAGAGCCGAGCTGGCGAGCCTGCAGCACTCCCGGTAGCACCTCGAGGCACAGGCAGAGGCGCCAGCACTGCGCTCCTTGGAGGATCCTTTGGGTCTGACCAGCATCCTCGGCTTGTCGCAGCAGCAAGCCGAACTCAGCCTCACCGGAAATGGCGACAGGAGGATCAGGGAGGTTGTGTCTCCAATTTGGCGCCTCCAGGAGCCCGAACTCGCCCTGCGGTCTGCCACCTTTGACTCAGCTCATGAGGAACCACGCCGTCTGCCCCAACGGCTGAGACTCAGGCTGTTGTCATTCTTTGGGTTTAAAACACTTCCACGAACTTGACCAGTTTTGCGCTTCTTGGCACGGCGAACCTCATCACCATCAAGGGAAGGGGTGCCTCTTTTCTGGAACTTGAAGTCGCACCAACATTAGTAGGCGAGGGACCAGCGCGACGGGACCGAGTGAGTGTACTACAAAGATCGTGGATGCTAGACATGCAACTGAGCACCGAGGTTTGGCATTGCAGGAGAAGCACGCCGTGGCAGTTGCCCACCCGCATATACAGTCTGGACACGACTTGGCGGTATGAAGCTCCGATCTCGAGAATCTGGAGATGACACCAAACATAGAAAATGCCCATGACAAATTTGCGACAGTGTGGTGCGTCCCGCTCTGTTCCCTTATATTCAAAAAACTGAAGTGCAGCTTGCGCACTGAACCAATCAACCCAACTGTGTATGTCGAACTGACATGAGAGTGACAGTGTTTTCTTTGCTGTGAAATCCAACTCAGCTGACAAGCTGCGCAAGAAAATACCTTCAGAAATTGCAAGCGGGCTGTGAAGTTCCTGCAGTCCAATGATCTTAGCACGCAGCATGGCGGCTGGCTACGGCTGACCCACCAGGCCAAGCCAGCCCTGCTCCGCAGAGGAACTCGGGACGAGCTGCATCCCTCGCACTACACCTCTTCTACTTAGCATAAAAGTGCTTGCAGTCGGGAAGACAACGGCAGGGAAACCGCGTTCAAAAGCCAAGCCTCTTCGAAGCAGTGAGCTACAAGGGCCACCAGCCACCACCCCCCCGGGGTTTGCCACTGCCAGGATCTGCCAGGGGGAGGCATAGGGGCAGGCTTCCAACCACCTGCAATACAACAGCGAGACCACGAGCATCTCGAGAAAGCTTTTGCCGTTGCTGCCCAAAAAGCAGCAGTTAAACCCACCGCAGGTGAGTGGAAGTGCAACAGGCAATGATAACCCGCTTGTTTGCCCAAAGTCAGCTATGACTACAGTCCGATCGTCACATCCGTTGTGGTGCCGGCCAAGGAACACCAAATGCGGTCGCACGCATTGGCACCTAGGCAGGAAGACCTCCGTCAAGCCATCAGAAGGACTGCCGCCAATCGCAAAGAACTGGCCTTGCTGGGGGCCCTTCTTGGGCCCTCGTTTCCTGGCCTTGGCATTCAATAAAGGGTGCAGCTTCGAAGGTTCTGCCAGGCTTTTCCCACCTTCCGCCCCCCTTCACCACGTCAGCGCATCCGCGCCTCAGTCGGCTGACAGCGTGGGGTCGGGAAGGAAACTGCTGTCAGTGTGAATCGTTGAAGCTACTGCTACAGCTTGGCGCCAAGCCGACCAGGAAGGGCTGGCGAGACTTTGCCAGGCCGATCGCAGTCAAGAGAAAAAAGCAAGGTGCAGCCAACAGGGGGGGGTGGGTCCAGGTTATGGCCCGAGGGCACACGAGTGCTCCGTGGACTTTCAGCTCTGAGCTTGGGATTGGTTGGGGGGAACCTGGGCTGTGGAGTACGCAAGCTGGCTGTTCCAGTCATGTCGTGTGCTTGCATCCTGAGCCATGTCGGGCGGCAAGTTGCGAATCTCAAGTGGAGAGCATTCGTTCGTGGTTCAACTGGGTGGACATGCTCCGATAAGTGGGCCAGCACCCACCCACATGCTGTGGCCGAACGGACACGACTACTCAACCACCACAACGGATGAATAATGCTATCACAACAGACAGGTAACACTGTCAAAGAAGAGAAAGGCCCCTCGCTTTCCTCCAGAGTGTCCAGCTGAAGAACCAATCGTAGCCCACACTGAGGAAGGACATGCCTCGTCCCATAAGAAGTCTGTTCAGACTGAAAAGCCTTTAGACTGGCCAGGTCTGGGAAGGTGGCCGATGCCCACCAGGGTCCCGATCTGTGTCTCCTCCGAGACGGCCACTGCACAAGAAAAAATGGTTTCAGTTGCTTGTGCCTCAAGTCCAACACCTGCTTCCGCAACAGTACACGTGCCAGTTTCGGGCAGTTTCGGGTGGCACACCCCGGCTTTCAAAATAGTCCTTGCCACGACCGCGAACATTCCGCTGCCAGCTCCAAAAACCTGGCGCAAGCTTGCAGAAACCATGGAAACCCTTCCGCAGATGCCCACCCCGCGCCTAAGGAGCCACAGGACAGTGTGACGGCAGGGATCAAGGACCAAACAACCAGCTTCACCTCAGGGAGGGAATTCAAAGCACACCAACAACAACAGTAACAGCAGCAGTGGTAGTAGTAGCAGTAGCAATAGCAATAGCAGTAGCGGTAGCAGTAGCAGTAGCAGTAGCAGTAGCAGCAGCAGCAGCAGCAGCAGTAGTCGTCGTCGTCGTGGTGGTAGTAGTAGTAGTAGTAGTAGTAGTAGTAGTAGTAGTAGTAGCAGCAGCAACTTCGACAGCTGCTGCGACTACAAGTACGACTGCGACTCCGGCTCCTGCTCCTGCTCGTAGTCGTCGTAG